ATTAAAAGTCAGAAGTCTTTTATATTCTTCCGCGGCTAGAGCCGGAGGCTCTTTGAAAGCAGCTCAAGTAGCAGCAAAGGCCAAAAAAAAAAAAAAACTGCCCGCTGCCGGGGCTGTCAGTGGCCCCCTTTTCTAGAGTTGCTAACTGAAAAGTTGACGAAAAGTAATCGCATATCGTTTAATTAAGAGAAAAATTTGGCTTAAAATTTTACGAAAACAACACCACAAGTCTCATTTGACTATTGGCTTGAAAATCGCTGGCGACATGCACTGAACATGCCTGGTTTAGTTTAGTCTGTTTTCAAACATCCTGGAGAAGTGCGCATGTCAGTTCTTAATTCGCCTTGATGTCCACCCATGTTACAAAGACAATTGGCGTATTTAGCAGATTTTTTACTTTTTAATTCGTTTTGTGCTATAACAGCCGTAAAAAACTCTTGCTGCAGAGATTTTCTGTATATTGTTTGAAAGCGTTTTATCTGGGATCTTCAAGTCAGGACCAGAAAAGCTAAGAAGCTGGAATTTCAGAAGATTTCTATCTGCATGCGATCCTGCGAGTTTAAATTCAGGTTCCATTTACGCTTAGGTCTTACGCTGGACGTGAGTAAATTTTTGTCACTAAAATCACTAACTCGAGAAGCAGAAAAGCCAGGGGCGGAAATTTGATTTTTCAAGCCTATATACAATTCCAAAAATTTAAATTCGGCTCTCAGACATGCCTAGTTCTGCTAATACGTGGAGATTTTGGCACAAAAATAGTGACTCGAAAATTAGAAAATCCGGGAGCCAAAATTTTAGGAGAATGTTCCTTGACTAAGCACTACCTCAAAATTTAAATTTAGCTCTCAACAACGCTCAGGATTCACATGCGAATATTTGGGAGCTTTGACGCAAAATTTTCTGCTTCGGGAACCGACAAGGACAAAAGTTGAGATTTGTTATGATGATTCCTCTCAATGTACAACTCTGATACTTCATATCCAGCTTTCATGTATGATTATGTTCCACGTATGAGCATGTGAAGTTTCACGTGGGAAATTTTTAATTCGCGAATTAGACAAAACAAAAAGCTAAAATTATTCAGATAACACTTCGACTATTTTGCACATACTAAACTGAGGAACAGTGAATATTCTTAACATTAAACATCCAATGGACAAAACCACCCAAGCCACACGATTGCATCGACTCCCTGATGACAGCCGCTATCTATATTTATTGCTAAAAATTACGAAAGTTTTAGTCGAACTGAAAAAAGACAAAAATCGGACCGCGCCTGCGCATCCACGTTGCCGATCCTTCATCGTCAGCTCCAGCTGGCAGTTAAAGTAGAGTGCTGGACGGTCGGCAAATTTAAAAACATGTGCTTCTTGACCGGCCATCAAATCGTTTGTGTATTCCAAATCCAGCAACACGTATTTGTCCACAGAGCAACTGTAACGCGATAATATATCAGGCAGTATGGACAGATCATTCAAAATGAAATATTCAATAATACACACAGCTATTTTTAAGGGAAATTATTTGTGTAATTGAGAGACAGTACTGTAATGTTGTACGACAACGATGTGCAAAAGCGAAACCTAATCGGTGACGAAAGTGGGAAAGAAATTGCTAGCTATGATAGGAATAGATGAATTAGTGGCACCAGTAATTCATGTGCAGAGTTCAGAGGAAGCTTAAGCAGCTCAGCACCGAGGGAAAAGCATTACTGTGCAACGGTGTGGGTTCAGATTACTCAGGTAACTGAGTAGCAACATTTTCTCAAAACAGATAATCCAGGTTTTCGATGATCAGTGCTATCATATGCCAGATTAAAGTTAGAGTCTCAATATAATCAAGGCTGAATATTCAGATTTCGCTGGTCAAATTTATCTGAGCATTCAATTGCAGATAAGCAATTTCATCATAAAAGTTTGGCTCGAAACACGAATTGGTTCAGTTACAGAGAATACTCCATCAGTGAACCCTTTTTGTGTTCGATTTGGATTTTCGGCCGCCACACTTTGTTTGATTTGCTTTGCCATTTCATATGCGGTCATCAGCCAAACGGGTCAAAAATCGCCATTGATATTACCTCCCTTACAAAAAACTGATCCTACTCTCTCGTCTGACGCAGACCCGAACCCACGGATGCATGTAAAAGTAATAGTGCATCAATTACTGATGATGAGAAAATTTGAAGGGTTCCCGTATTCAAATTAGCAAGGGATGAGTGGATTATTTACAACTGGAATACAATAAAAAGCGGGTTTCTTGCCTGCTATAGTGCCCTGAGTTCACTTCATCCCTACCACTGGTGTTTTTTACAACACACACGCACAACAGTCCACTTCACCCAAATATGTAAATGCTGTTATCTGTGTTAGTGAAGAATCGTGTCTGTAACGGATTGCGTAAATTCCTGAAATATTGCAGGACGGACTGCATACACCCTTTCTCATTTTTCCCCAAAACTATATGTCAGAATCACTTAAACCATACCGCACCAGAAAGCATTAAAAGAGCAAGATCACTTATTACAAATTCTGATGAATAGCTTACTTAGTTGAAATAATAACTAATGATTAGTATGATGTACAGATTAAAATTCGAAAAAATTACGAAAATAATCGCTGAAAACTATTAATTTAGACGAACTAAACACGAAGTATAAAAAATTTCCTAGCCGATAACGTGAAGATGCTGCATAGTTCAGGACAAGATGATGAAAACACGCACAAAAAAATTTACACACAAAGCGCACATCACACACACACACACAAATTACACATACAAGACACACACAAATAAAACAAGCACACGCGCACAAGTAACATATCGAAGTCTCTAGCTTGTCATGTGCTCCTGTCGGCAGAACTGCTGAGCTGATAATTCTTACAGGATGAGAACGTGAACGCAAGGGTCGCCGGCAGACTAACTGCAGCGACGCAAAATTAGTGAGAGCAGCTGGAAATCTTTTTTAATTGCATGGTTAGAAGCCGACTATGATTAACGGCTAATTCAAGTATTACAAGTAAATGAGATACTACATCGAATGTAAATAGACCAATGCC